GTGGATTGTGAACCACCAGAACTACAGAGTGTATTCTCCATCCACAGGGAAGTGAAACAAGAAATCAACTACAGAAGGAAGTTGCTGAAAACAAACATGCACCTCTCAGGGAGCACACTCACTCAACGTCCAAAGTCAGACAAGAGACGTGAGGCAAGGAGGAAATAGTTTGAGATTATAAATAGAAACAAAACAATATTGAAATGTGAAGAATACAAATAACTCGGGGCCAAGTGAGAAACTTATAGCTGTGAATGTCTGTATTGAAAATGAAGAGAGACTGAAAATCTATAAGAAGTAGTTAGGAACAAGAAACAAGACCATCAAAGCTGCAGAGTGGAAGATGAACACGGAAGAATCAATTGTTCATCCACACACTCACAAGCAAGAATCAAAATCAAAATTAAGAAAACAACCTCATCTATAATAGCATCAAAACCAGCAAAAATCCTTAGGAATATATTAAACAGAAGACATGTAAGGTTTGTGTGCTGAAAGCTGGAAACCACCCTTCAAAGAAATGACTTGAATAAACAGAAAAGAATTGGTGGTGCTTTCAATGTGAAGTGTTCCCCATAGGCTCGTGTGCTAGAACACTTAGTGCCCAGCAGGTGGCACTGTTTCAGAAGATTGTAGATGCCTTTAGAGGTTTATAGCCTTCTAGCAAGCCTTACTAGGGGTAAGGGAAGAGACTGGTGTAGGCATACATTTTTTTCAACCTACTTTAAATAAGAGTCCAACCTCCGCTCTAGCCCGCCAACCACCAGAGACAGTGGAAGAAAAAAGATATTAGGACAGTTCAGTCCAGTAGCAAATACCAAATAGGAATCAGCAGCTGTCAGTAGACACCACACACAAACCAGCAACTGCAGTCCAGTCCACTTGACAGTCACCATACATGAACAAGTAAGGGCAGTTCAATCCAGAAGAAACTGCAAGGCTCTCTTACCAGCCAGAGACCACAGAAGCAGCAAGAAGCTACAGGAACCTCATGAGAATTTCTTTGGCTAATCTCTCTCTATGGCATCACCACAAGCAGAGCTTAGCAACACAATGTAAGATGAACCAACAGTGAGGTGGGGGCAAAACAAACCAATTCTCAAACTCCCACTGTCTATGGTGCCATATTTATATTCCTTCTGAATATCATGAATCCATTCATGTGTTTGCTATGGCAAAACACCCTTTCACCTGTGTCTGCTTCAGGAAAAGTCTTTCACTTTGTCTGCTTTAGCAAAGTTCTTTCACCTGTGTGCCCCAGCAAACTATCATTTGACATAACTGACTTTCCAAAGAAATCAGAAGTGTCTACTTCAGACTGACTTTTACAAGTTTTATAGCTTGGCTCTACTTCCTGCCTACACTCTACTTCTTTTTTGTGGATATAGTATAATTAACTCATTACATCATGTTCCCATCTCCATGCCCCCACCACCAGGATGGGATGTGTCCCTTCTTAAACCACATTCTAAAATGAACCCTTCCTTCCTGATGCTGATTTTGTCAGAGCAAAGAGAACATAGAACACCTTATGTTTGTACAATGTGAGACTTAATATTTGCAAAAGGCAACACTTCCTAATGGATCTAACACAATCCCTATAAAATCTCCTTTGACTTATCTGTAGAAATAGACAAGTGAATTCTGCCTTCACACAGAAGATGTAAGAGTCTCAGAATAGTTAATACTGTATTAGAAAGAATGAAGTTGGAGGGCTAACACTTCTTGATCTCAGTATTTTGCATCAGGTCAAAATAATCAGGTCTGTGTTGTGTGTACCTGTGGAGCAACAGAATAAAACTGGTTTCTTTGACAGCTCATTGATGCTTGGCAAGAGTGTCAAAAAATATTTCTGGGGTAAAGGCCTCGGACAACTAGAAATTCATACACAAAAAAAAAAAATAAACAAGGACACCTACAGTCTATATCCTGTAATATTACATAGGACTGAAAGATTGATACATAATATCCTATATAACATGGAAAGCATGCTAGATGAAAGAACTGGGCACGAAAGGCTATGAATAATGATCCCACTTAAATGAAATGTCCAGAAAAGGCAAATCATTGGAGAGATGAAGGTTCCTGGGTGCTTCCCAGGAATGGGAGGGGGAGATAGAGAACTAATGGGTACAAGCATTTCTTTCCGGGGTGATGAAATGTTCTAAAATTAGTGATATAACTGCACAGCTCTCTGATATAACCAAATAAAGAAACCAAATTTTGTGAGAATTCCTAAGATCTAAGAATATGGGTGACATCAGAAATAAAAGAGTGGCTCTTTTTCTGGAAAGTTCTAAATTAGCTAAATTTCTCCCCAGTTCTGGTCTGCTTCCAGGGAACATATGATAATATCAGTGTAAAGGGCATGGGAAAGTCCCCTGACATATGATGGGTAGCTAGGGATGCTGTTAACCTGCAATGCACAAAGACTTACCTGTCAATCACTTCTCTTCCCCTGCTCCTTCTGCAAACCAGGGTCTCACTATATAGCTCTACTGTCCTAGAACTAACTATGTAGACCAGGCTGGCCTTGAACTCAGAGATCCACCTGCCTCTTCCTTTCTCTTGCTGGGATTGTAGACATAGGTCACTTTGCCCAGTTTGCTTTTCTTAAAGGAAACAAAGGAACAAACAAACCCCACTCTTAGCTTATAAGAGTCAGAGGACTTTTGGTCTAGATTCTAACCAGCTCCATGTGCAAGTCTTTACTTTCTCATGTGTAAAATAGGGATGATGTAATAGCCCTTACAATGAAAAGATACCTAGCTTCAGTAAGGACTAGGCAGTTTTACTATCATAAGTACTGTTTTCTACTTTTTAAAGCTTCCAGTACTGCTTAGTACAAGGAAATGGGTGCCATCGACCTCTTAATATAGTATTACTTTACCCAGTCACAATTAGTATGTGAACTGGAACATTTTATGAGGTAATAAGCAATTGAGACATACAGTTGACATTTCTCACTGTTGCATTATAATCAAGCTAAAGAGGGACTGGCTGAGTACCCAGTTGCCATAGTAACATAAAGTTTTTTTGTTGGTCTAATTCATTTTCTTGCATGAAATGCTTTCTATTTGTCAGGCTGAGCTCTGTGGCTGAGTCCATCTCGACCAAATAGCTGTGGAGTCCTTTCTGCTTTTGAAATCTAATGTACTACAACTTAAAATCAAGATGACAGCCAGTCACATGCTTTTGTCCTGGAGCTCACTAGAGTTGGTGATGTACTGGAGTGACTCCATAAGGTATGTTAAGTCACCTTCCAGCATTCACTAGCCCAAGTTCCAGTGCCAACATTCTCTTGTCTGCACTGTAGGCAGAGAAAAACAGGCACTAATGTTTGTTAAGTGCTTCTCTTAGCATTTTAGAGATGCTCTTCCTGGCTTTCCCTATTTACACTGCCCCAAACCATGAAGGGGTGAGAACTATTACCAACATCACACAGAGGCTACCAACACAGATTAATAATTTGCCCAGGGACACACTTTACATATATATTTATTTCTTCTAAATTCATAATGTGTTCTCATAAATCTTTTAAGTTGGCTTAGGAAAACAAAGCTGTTAAAAATAAGGAAAAATTGATGCTACAGAAAAGCAGAAGCAAAAGCAAAGGAGAGAGATAGACAAAACGTTCTATTGTGAAGTTGCTCCCATTAGGAATAAGTTCTTAGCCTGAGTTTCCCAAGTGGTCAAAACGACAAAGAAAACCTGGTCAGTAGTGAGGACGGAGAGGGCAAAGCCACAGAGTTAAGAGATTATTGGTACTCCTCCATAACCTCAACACACAGACACAGACACAGACACAGACACAGACAGAGACAGAGACAGAGACAGAGACACAGACACAGACACAGACACAGACACAGACACAGACACAGACACACACATACTATACTATACTATACTATACTATACTATACTATACTATACTATACTATGCCATGCATTGTGGCCAGTAAGGATCTGAACTCATATCCAACTGAATCCCAGTCAGTAAAAGGTTCCTTACCATATGCGCACTCAGAAAGCCTCAAAATTCACAATCCACACTCATTTCCTCAATCAGCTCTGGAGTCCCCACGTTCAAGTTCAAATCTCAGCTCTGCTACCTTCTAATCACATGGTCTTCTATAAGATCATAAATTCCAGCACCTGGGTTTCCTCAGCTGCAAAATGAAGACAATGAACCTGGTATCCTAGCACTCTATCTCCGTAACCCTATCGTGGGGACTAAATGTGTAAGGCATGTAGTGTAATTCCCAGACTCCACTATGGGTATGGGTATTACTATTTCCCACACTTCCCAGATGGCTCTGTGGTGGGCATTG